ACCCATGTCTCCTGGATCTCCTGCATGTAAAGTGGATTCTTTACCATCTGAGCTACCAGGGCAGCCCTGGTGTATACACACACATACACACTCACACACATACACACTCACACACATACACACACACACACATAAATGTTAAACCTTTGGTACCTGTTACTGCCTTTATTTTTTTCATAAGAAAAATTGCCAGCAGATGGTAACATGGATGAGGAAGTAGAAATAACCAGTGGCAGTGGAAAATTTTCAAGGCTGATTATCTCATGATAATAGTAACAACATTCAATGTGCTGGTGGAGAACTGGTACTAAGACTTCACATGGATTAATTCAGTGCTGTATGGCTCTCAGAGGAGTTAAGAGGAAGACGCTGTTAAGTTCCTCGGCTGGTAAGAAGTGCCTGTTTGACAGTGTGCATGTCTGTGTGTTTTGTGGATAGATGCTCTGGATGTGATTTTATTTTATATGCTATAGCTACATTCTTCAGCTTCTTAAATCATTCCTAGTGAATTTGGTAGAACTGCGCTTCCCAGTATTGTAGCCATGAGCCAATTTTGGCTCCTAAACATTTGCCATCTGGCTAATAAGATGTGACATATGTGCCCAGTACACACAAGGTTTTGAAGACAATACAAAAAAATTAATGTAAAATATCTCTAAGATTTTAGATTAATTGTTGAACTATTATATTTGGGATATCATGGGTTAAATATAATAATTACTAAAATCAAATAAATTATTAGTAATACTGCAATATATTGCTATTGATTTCACCCATTTGTAATTTTCTTCTCTCTTTAATGTGGCTACTAGAATACTGAAAATCACTTATGTGGCTTGCTTCCTATTTGCATGGAACAGTGCCATATTACGAGCACATTATCTTATGGTCTTTTGCTGCAATCAGACAGATGAGACCAAGAACTTGTGCTTGATTAGGTGTTTGTGGTTGTAGACAAGGTCTTACCTCTCCCAGGCGTGTGTCTCCCCTAAGACTTGTGTCTTGCTCTAGCCTGGTATTTCTCAGCCCCAGTGGACTCACCTTGGAAATTTCAGTAAAAGTTGCTGCCTGGATCCCAGATGCAGAGATTCAGATGGTCTGGACAGCTTGACCATCGGGGTTTTAAAGGCCTGAGGTGAAGTGAAGAAGCAGTGGAAGCCGAGAACTGATGGAAAATAGGACCTGCAGAAATGAGCCCTGGGGACAGCGGGGTGGGGAGTTGGGGGCAGGGCGGGGGGTGGGGGGGAATGGGGGCGGGTGTTGGCAGAGGGGCTTGGCTCACTCTGCACCTCTCCTAGAACTAGATAAGCATGGGGAAAGGTCAGAGCCCGCCCAGCTCATTAAAAACTAACTAAACTCCCCCTCCCCTTCAGGGCCCTGGGGCAGGGAGGGGAGGAGTGGGACTCAGTTGGGGTGGGGTGGGGGTGAGAATGCTTCCAGCTGTGTGAGGTGACACTTCCCCAGGGACCCCAGGGACGGCTGGCTGTGGAAGTGTACGCCTCTCTCACCTCCAGGGGCCACGGGGGTAACCACAGCACTGAGCTGAGCCTGGCCTTACTAACCCTTACCCCTCTCCCAGCCCCCAGCCTCTGTCCACAGGCTCTAAGCATCCTCCCCGTCCAGGCGGAGAGCCAGAGTCCAGGAGACGCTACAGCGGGTCTGTATTTGGTCGAAGGAAATACTCAGATCCATTCATATAATATTCTAAATGTCTACTACGTACAAAATTTCAGAAATCAGGCAACTTCCAACTTTTGAAGTTTAGCTTATTAGCATCGAGGCAAGAAACTGCCCCCTGCAAACCCCCGCTGACTTCAAGCAAAGCAGACTTGCCTGTTGAGCAGGGGTCTGGCTACCACTTTATTAAACATTATTGGCCCAGACCTTTCTGAATAATTTTTTATAAAACTTCCCCTGCATACCTTCCTGACAAAGTCACTCTTCCAAGGGGGGAGGTGCTGCCACCTGCCACCCATCCTTCCATGCTGCAGCGAGACATCTTTTTCGAATAAGCACGTGTTCTCTGAGACCAACCACCAGATCTTCCTCCGTCTATCTCTTCTATTTTTTTACGATCCGTTTAGGATTCTGCCATGTTATGTGAACATTCCCCTATGTCCAGGTTGATCAGGGCTCACAAAATGACCAACAACACTTTTGCTCTCAAATTCACCATCATGAACATGGCTTGGAAAATGATTACTTTTTAGGATTTTTACCACCAGATACTGCCAGGCGATGAAAATAGCTGTGTCCATGTATGTAACCCTTCCTCTCAAACCTTTGGGGGAATAAGTGGGCAGTGCTGAAGACTATCAGAGCACTCTCTCATTTCCAGACTCTTAAAGATGAAGGGAAGAGCTGCCCAGCAGACGTGAAGCCGCATTTATGAATGAATGCATTCATGGCTGGGTTTCCTGCCTTCTGTGTTTCCTTACAGATCTAAAGTTGTAACTTCCACACAGTACTGAACTACATGAACAGTTTCTATTCTCTGTTCCCCGAGGAGAGAATACTTGGCAGCGCATGTAACGTTAAAAAAAAAAAAAAATCCTTTTCTCTGGCTGGCATTCAACTTTTATATTTTTAGATTTGGAAATACGTTTCCCTCTCCCTCCACCCAGCATATATATTTTTATTCTCCTCTGACTCCTTCCAAACTGCAGCAAAATCTGTTTCCTGGCAATTTGAGAAGTGAGAACTGTCGGAGGGGGGAAGAAAAGTGAAGAGACATGTGATGCTGTCATGTTAGCATGGAAACATTGCCCAAGGACAAAACCAGGGGCCGTCTTGTGATGTTTTCTTCTGCTCACACCAGCGTCCTATTTTGATCTCACCGAAGTTTACTCCGGCGGCCCCCATTCAGACATTGTGACCCGCGTGAAATCAGGCGGGGAACGGACTTCTGAAGATAAGAAGAGCTGATGCTCTCACAACCATCAGGACCAAACTGTCACTTGGAATTCATTGTAAATATACAAAGCAGGCAGTCCGCTCAGCTATAGCTCTGATCTTTAAGTGCCCATCCTACTGCTGGGTTAGAAAGTTCGTTCCTTCAACAAGGACTTACCGTGCCATTGTTCTCTGCCAGGCTTGGCTCCAAGCAGCAGGAATAGGGCAGCTTCTGCAACGTTGGTTTTGCAACAACCCTAAACTCTCAGCCTGGGCACTTCAGAGGTTACATAAGACCTGGGCGGCAGGGGTGGGGGAGAGAGGGGGCGGAGGCGGGAGAGGAGTGTCTGCAGTACTCCCAGAAACACCAAAACCTTTCAGGTCAGAAGACCATCTTTTCCTTCTGCTGCAGGATTTTTGCCTCCTGTCAGAACAAGAGCTGGCTAAAAAAAAAAACACAGCATAAACTTTTCTGTTTCCTGTCTGAGGATTATCTAACCACAAATACCAGCGTGGATTCCAGTTTTACATAACACTCTGCGGTACATCATTACACTCCGCTTCTCAAAGGAAAAGAGACAATGTGAGGATATTGCAAGAATTATTTTCACACATGAATTATCGTACAGTATTACAAAGAGTTATGTGCAAAACTCCATTAAAAATCATTTACAAAAGGAAGTACAACACAGTATGTGTTGAGGGTTCCAGATGTATAGCAAAAGCTTGAAAAGGTACAAAGTAGAAAGCCAAACAAATCAGATGACTGGGCATCTTTACACAGTACAATAACATACTTCTGTAACTACCTGTGTGACACGGATACAAGAATTCATTCTCTGTGCAACCCCCCGACCCCCACCCAAACAGGTTTCATAAAACAGAAATTGAACTTCACCACACATTCCTACAACACAGACAGGCTTTTTTGGTACATCGGCAAACTCCTTTCCAAATAGTATTTATTTAACTCGATGAAACTCACATTATGTGGTTTCTGCCCCAAAGAATTTGATGCTGTTAGTTTTGATTTATGTGGAAAAGGGGGAAAAAAATCTGTTGCTCTAATTTTTTTTTCCTTGTGGGGTTTTCAAAATTGCTTCCAAAAGCAAATAACATGGGACAGATTTTGCAAACCTCACTGCATATTTACAGTATTTTCAGCATAGGTGGTTCCTTCTATCTCCTTTTCCCACTTCCTTTAAGGAGCCTGAACCAGCAGGCTCCACTCTTTAGTCTCCTATGAAGAGTCTGTATTTCCCTCTCAGTCTCTCTCTACATTCATTTCTCTCCTGATTCTCAGCATCACTTGGTGAAAACACAAAACAACATGATAGCTCTGAGCGTGAACAAGGTAACGACAGTACATCGGATTCCCAAAGGCATTCTGTGGCCAGTGTCAGAAATACATCGCTGTAAGAAACCCAGTAGTCTCTCCCCACAAAGTGGCCGAAACATCCAGTTACGGAAGAGAGACCTTTAAAATGCAATACTCTCAAATCCAGCAAGAGATTTCTTTTTTGCATCATTCAATGTTAAAATCACATGCATAATTATAGAATATCTTAAAAGTTACAAAAATATTTTAAAAACCAATCCTGACAGTTTACCTGCAACTGCTATAAAATCTTCTATGAAATATATAAAAACACAAAGGCTCTTTGTAAAAAAAAAAAAAAAGGGAAGGAAGGAAGGGTGGATGAAGGCATCCACAGAACTGAGAGGTCCTTGATGCACTGCATCGGACAGTCTTGTCAAATGCCTGCTGTTGAACTCGAGAGAAGAGCTGGTACTTAAATGTTTATTCAGTACATATGCACACACGTGAGCCAACCCAATACCTGGCTGAGGGGTAGGCAGCAAGCCATGTGGGGACACTTGAACCACTGGATGCAACTTTCCACCTCTGAAGGACAGGTCCTCCTCTTTGCCGAACCTCAGCGAGCTCGCTGGGGAGTCGTGGTTAAAGATGCCCTTGGCCAAGCGGGCCTGTGGATGGCTCGGTCACGGGTCCTCAAGGAGATGACTGCACAAGACCGTGGACACCAGAGGCCGGGTTGCTAAGTCTCCCCCTTTGGACGCACCACTGGGAAGCCTCTGTGAGTCCCCTAGGAGGCGCTGAGGTCTTCCTCCCCGTTCTGGAAGATGATGCCATAAGGATCCTTCTTGATGCGCTTGTAGACGAAGTGGAAGACGTGGGGCTGTGGCCGGCTGTGCAGCTCAGCCTTGATCTTCTGCGGGTACGTGTCCTCTGCGAGCTGCTGCCACGTTTCATCCACAAAGAGGAAGAGGCTGTACTCCTGGGGGTCGGCCACCTTGAACTTCTCGGCGCAAAGCTGACACACGTCTTCAGTGGTGACGTACGGCCTCACGAGGAGGGTCTTTCCCGTGCAGCCACTGTTGACCTCCTGGAATGCAACCCGGAGGTAATTCTGCAGGGGGTGGAAAAAAGAGATTGGGGGGGGGGGCAGAGTCAGAAGAGGAAGAGAGATGGCACAGATGAACCCGTGGGATGCCAAGGAGAGGGCTTGAAGGTGAGCCTCACCAGGACGTCCAGTGTCAGGACACCGGGCCTCCCAGGGAGGGAAGGGGGCTGATCCCAGTCGGGACAGTGGAGAGCACACTGCATGGTCTGGGTTACTGTACTGTTATTGTTTAGTCGCTCAACTGTGTCCGACTCTTTGCAACCCCATGGACTGTAGCCCGCCAGGCTCCTCTGTCCATGGGATTCTCCAGGCCAGAATACTGGAGTGGGTTGCCATTCCCTTCTCCAGGGGATCTTTCCAACCCAGGGATCGTACCCGCGTTTCCTGCATTGGCAGGCGGATTCTTTACCAACGAGCCACGAGGGAAGCCCTGTAATTCATCCCAAGTATCAGAAGCAGGAAGTCTGTTCAGCCCTGCTCTTTCAGTCCCTTTCACAACGCAGGGCTGAGAAATTCCTGGTAAAGAGTGTCAACTTACTGCTACCCTGATCTTATCCCTCTAGCCTCCAAAACTGTGAGAAATAAATCTCTGTTGTTCACAAGCCAAAAAAAAAAAAAAAAGAGTGTCAACTAGAAGTGATGCCGGGTTTATTCCCAGCTTGAAAAGTAACCCAGAGGGCAGAAGGGCCTGAGCCAGGACAGCAGGGGAAGACACATAACATGAGGACACAAGAAGAGCACAGGCCCTGTTGGCTCTGGACTACCTTTTACAAAGCCTAAGAGGGGCTATGCTGTTACTGCGGACAGCGGACCATCCTTCTCTCCCCTAAGGGCAATTTCACACCGCTGAACCCAACGCAAGGCTCCGGTGGCTCTGAGTGCCCTGTGGAAAGTTGGTGGTGGTGGGGGGAACATGGATTCTGTGGAAAGACTTGGGAGATGCGCTGACTGGGTGCAGGGTGCTGCCATGTGGAAATGGAAGGTGTCGGGGGGCGGGGGGTGTTGGCAGGCCCCGTGTCATAAGCAGTGCCAGGCGAGCGGCATCACAGGACAGACTGGGGTCCTGACCAGGGGCCAGGGTGTCCCAGCTTCCCGCCCGGTTCTCCCAGAGTCTGTGGCCCCGAATTATTCTTCGTTCCACTTCTTCAGGAGTGGGGGTCACCAGGTAAAATAGGGGAGGCCCTGTTACATCGGATTTTCAGACAGAAAATAAATGCTCTGCACAGGAATGATAAAAGTCGAAGCTCTGAACCAGAACGTTTCGGGGCACCTCTGAGCACACACCTGCCCTGTTTTACTTACCCCTCCTCTCTCCTCCCGCGTCCCACCCCCAGCACACGTGGTCCACACGCCTGGTGTGCATTCACTCACTGACTCCTGAAGAGGACTTTGTGCAGGAGGCCTACACTAATCCCCACCTGACCAGGGAAGAAACTGAGGCACAGAGAGGCTAGGTAACTTGCCCAAGGCCACACAGCGGGCGAGTGGCAGGGCCAGGGTTCCAGCCTCCTGCCCATGAGGCAAGGTGCTTGCTACTCCAGCGTGAGCAGACACGTGTGTCTGTGAGCCTCACTTAGGTGTTCCGAGTGCAGCCTCGCTTCCTGGCATTGCTCCTTCAGCCAAGCTGAGTGCCGACAATCTCCGTCTTGGGCCTATTCTAAGAAGATGCCCGTCTGCAAGGTGAGCGAGGCTGGTAGGGAGGGGTGTGTGTGAGACAAGGGCTCCGTGGACTCCGGGGGTCTCTGGCCAAGAAGCTCCAAATAGAGACAGGGGGCTGGGGGAAGGTGGGAATTGGAAGGACATGCATTTTCCTTCAAGAACACCTTGCTGACCCTGCCTTTCCACAACAGGCTCCTTTAAACCAAATGTACCTTTTGAGTGTTTTCAGAGCATTAAAAGGCAAATAGGGCAAGGAAAGTGAATTGGGACTCAGAGATAAATCTGGCCAGCTTGGGAATTCACCACGTGGCATATGGACTCAGTCCGGGTTCACAGTTCTGCTGGAAGCTTTTAAAATAATATTCGAAGACCTGTGCAGACTCACTCATCAATTCATAGACTGTGAGCCCATGAAGCGATCCTGTGTTGGGTCAAGATTTCTACAGCCTTAACCCGCCTCTCCTCTCCAGGAAGCACGCTCCATAGTAACCCCACTTTCCCAGCACCAGTTCATGGACAGAGAAAATTCTGGATGGGGAATTCAGGCAAGATTGGGCTCAAATGTTCATGCTCCAGCTCTGGCCCTACCAGGCTGCCAGAGCTGACACTGCTGATGAGACCCTAGGGTCTTCTGTTTTGGGGGTAGGGAGAGGAAAAAGGAATGGGGTCACTGCGCCCCTCCATCTTCTCAGAGAGGCCAGGTCAAGTGCAGGGCCTCACAGGGCTGTTTCCATACGGCAGGTCACCTGTCTGCCACCTGTGCCAAAAGCATCCTTACTGTAGGCTTTCTGAGCGCCTAGGTGCTCAGTATCCATGCAGAACCTTTAGGAGGAAGTCCTGCCCTCATTTGACTATTTCCTTAAGGGCAGCAAAACTTGGGCCAAATCCACACACACACATACACACACACACACTCTCTCTCTCTCTCTTTTAAGGAAAAGAGAGAAGTGAAACAAGGTCAGAAGATGGTTTAAAATATCCCTTTTCCACTGGATGACCGGACGAGGGCGGGGCCCTGAGCCGCGTGAGCCGTGAGGAAGCAGCGGGGCCCGCCCTGGCCGCTGGCCACGCACCTGAAAGTCGTCCACCGAGGGGACGGTCCGGTTGGTGGTCCTGCGCTTGTGCCACTGCCTCAGGGTGTCCCTGGCCTCGGAGCTGAGCAGCCGCGCCGCCTGCTCTTCCTGGAAGTTCTTTATCAGGGAGAGGGCCCCGTAGGCGCTCGTCAGGTAATAGCCTCCTGGAAAGGGTAGACAGAGTGAGTTCTGCAGGGGTTCACCTCTGGGGACCACAGGAGGGGGACCACAGAGTCGGGAGTCAATCCCCACCTTGCCCTTCTCTTCCACATGCATTTTTTCTTTTTTTTTTGAGCAAGAGAATCCCCTTCCATCCATTCCTGCATTCCTCTCCATGGATGTACAGCTAACCCAGGCCTGAGCCACTGGTCAGAGCGCTGGAGCCTGACATATTGAGGATGGGGGGAGGGTGGTGGCTTGTGAGGGCGGCGGGGTCCACTGCTGAGGTCAGAACACTTTCCAGTAGGAACAGGAGTCCACCCACCTCCCAGCAACACCTGCTTTGAAGCTTCTCATTTAAGAACTCCTATGTGCTAAATTTGAAGTGAACTATATATACACTTAGAAAGAAATACACAATATACAAGTGTGCTTACAATAATATGGGGTTTTCAAAATAACCTCTCCCTCATGTTTCCCTTTCTTACCCTTACACATAGGGACTCACAGAAGAGGACATTTAGGAAAAGGTTACTTTACAGGGAAAAGGAAGTGGCATCCCTTTTGCTGGTGCATTTGGGAATGATTTCCTGTTTGTGCTGTGCGGAGTTGCTAGGTTGTGTCTAACTCTTTGCGACCCCATGGACTGTAGCCCCCCAGGCACCCCTGTCCACGAGGATTCTCCAGGCAAGAATACTGGAGTGAGTAGCCTTTCCCTTCTCCAGGGGATCTCACCCACCCAGGAATCGATCCTGGGGTCTCCCACATTGCAGGTGGATTCTTTACCACCTGAGCCACTAAGGAAGCCCTCTTATGTCTGAGGGGGTGTTAAAAACACTTACAATACTCTGAAAGGCATGTAAATGTGTTCACAGTTTGGTCCTAAACTATAGGGTTGTCCAATAAGTTCATTCTGGTTTTCCTCTAAGATGTTACAGGAAAACCGGAAAGAACTTTTTAGCTAACCCAATACGATGAGATGCCTTTCTGGAACTTGTAAAGCTCCTTGCTGGAGAAACACTAGAGGGCGCGCTAGATGTTTATTACAAACTCTGCAACTGGACACTGCACGTTGTGGACATAGAGACATTCTTCATCCAAATACCTGTTGAATCTCCACCTTGAGCCAGGTACAGAGCCGGGCTGGGTTTGTAAAAATTAGAATCTGAGTCCCTGCTCCATAAATGCATTAAAAAAAACCCAGATATTGGTGTTATTCATGCAGGGACCAGAAGTTAGCTGTGGTTAAATGAGTTTTGTCTGCCAAGTGTCACTTCCACCACCAAAGTATTGAGTGTTAACACAAGACCCTAGAGAACTCTCTCTCTGGTCAATGAGTGGCAACACTCAAGAGGGCAGTGGTCCACCATCTAGGAAACGAGTTGAATGCCCCCCTAAGTCATACTGGACGTGGAATCTGAGAAACAATTTTGTGGTTTTCAGGTCACTGGCAGAGATTTGGGGGTCATTTTTTTTTAAGATTTTTTTGATGTGGACCATTTTGAAAGTCTTTGCTGAGTTTGTTACAATATTGTTTCTGTTTTATGATTTGGTTTTTTGGCAGGGAGGCATGCAGGAGCTTAGCTCCCGGACCAGGGATCGAACTTGCATCCCCTGCATTGAAAGGTGAAGTCCTAACCACTGGACCACTAGGGACGTCCCTGGAGGTTATCACTTACTGTAGCATCCTCTCGCCCACTCTGAGCAGCACACCTGCTATACATCCATCATAGGTCAGCCTTTTTGTTCAGAGTCATTTGACTAATTTGGCAGATTTACCACTCAGCTGTAAGCTTCCTAGGGCAGCCCCCACGGTACACAGTAGAGAGTTTCAAGTGGCTGAGTTTTACTAAATATTTTACCCATGAACAAATCACATGATTGAGTGGGAAACTCAGTAGTATGGAATTTAAATGTGACACAGAGGATTTTAGGAAAAACCAATATGGAACCCAAGGACTCAAGAGAGGCTTGTGGAGGTGTCAGAATTGGAGCTCGGACTTGGAGGGACGACGACTGTTGAGTTGGGGATGGGGGTGGTTTCCTTTTAATGTCAAATTTTTCACTCTATGGCTCAAAGTTCAGGCCACTGAGGGGAAAACGCCAAATGCTGGAAGCACAAAACTGACCACACTTGGAAACATGTGGATGCAATTAGAGTAAGGTTTAAATTTCAGAAAAACTAACCCTGCCACTAGAGCTGTGCATGTCAAAAGGATTCTATGACGTCTTTTCCGTAAATGAAACGACCTGCTTCAACAGCAGAAAACTGATGTGGGCTGTGCTTTGGGCTGTGGGGCAGGATGCAGGGCAGGACCAGCCGTGCGTCTCCTCCTGGTCTGCCAGCCTGACAGGGCCGCTCGGTTCTCCCAGCAAGGAGCCCAAGAAACCAGGACATGGCTGAGTGAAGGTGGGCTCCAGTGAAACCCCAGGTTGACTGACTGCTCTGTATGTTTTCTAGCTGCATCCTTGTCTTCCTCTGTGATTCCCGGAGGTGAGGACCTGTCCACCTGTCACTGACACAGTACCCTGAGCAATGCCTCACTCTGGAGAAAGGCTGGGGAAAATGACAGGAAGTGGCTGTCTCCATCCTCAGGTCACAGGATGTAAGCATGTGTTTGTCCCAAGTACACACTGTCAGCAACAGAATGGTAATTTTCTGAGGGAGGCTGACATGTCCTTTCCCCAAAGCCCCAGGAGTTCAGCACACTTATTACTAGAATTAAACATGACTGAAGCTCAAAATAACCCTCGCTGCATATACAATTACAATAATAATGCCATGGAAGAAAGAAAAAAAGGGCATGGAAATGAATGTATGCTTCCTCCTGGTCCCTGGACAAAGCCACATGCTCCCTCCCTCCTGGGAATCCCAGGGCAGAGCCGGAGGAAGGCTCCAGGCAGGGTCTGGGCAGTTTATCCTGGAGGGTCCAGCCTCAGCATTGGTTTATATTCATGAGGGGAGATAAACTGGGAAGAGGTAAAGGGATGGATGAAAAGATACTCATCACTGGTCCTGAGTCAGCGGGTCCCTGCAGGGGTGGAGGGGGACCACAGGGCTCCCTGGAGGTCAGACCCTCTGACCCAGAGCCAGGCCCTGGGGACCAAGGGAACTAATGCACACGTTTGGGGGGTGACAGTGCACTGCCGTCTCCTCCAGGGAAAATCCCGGGATGCTACATTCTCTGGGGAATCCCATCGGCATGTGGATGGACCTTTTCACTCAAGCCCAGACTAAAACTCACTAGAGGAAAAAATGTTAGGCGCAAATTCATCACTCAGAGTCCATGTGGGCTGAGACATATGAAATGAACTGTCAGGACACACAGGCCGAACAAGCTCCGATCTGCTCCCCTTTAAGACAAGCTCATACAAGAGTCCTCGTTATTTCAGGCCTGTGCACCACGGTGACAAACACCCTAATTATTTCCACGATAAAATACTTAACCCTTGTGTAAGGACAGGGATTCCTGTGAAGACGTGTTGGAATGAGGCAGACAGGAGGAGGACGACTGAACTGACAAAGTAAGTTGAAAGCAAATCGCCCAGATTTTTTTACTCCGCTGTGGTTTTATGTGAACGATGAGCAGGTGCTATTTTTTTTTTTTGTAAGAAAAGGAAATCACTGATGCTATTTTCATGTTGAAAACCAAATTTAAAGAATAAAGATGAAAACAAAAGATAGGCCTTTGTCCGATTCACTGACACAACAGTGGGCAGTTATGCTGGCAGTGGAAATATTCTGCAGCGAAACTTTACAGTTTCCCTGTGAAATCAAAGAAACCATTTCTTTTAAAAATTGGCCCTGATTCTACTGAATGGTATTTTTTTTTTCCTTTACTGCAACTAAGCAATCTTGGTGAAGTATAATTATAGCAGGGTTGCATTGTTTTGTGTGTTTTTTTGACTTTTCCGAATTTTCTGCGACGAACATTATGACTCCTGTAATCTGGAAAAAAGTCAGTACCGTCTCACAAATGAACAAAACTAAAACGGCCGTTAACCCTGAATATGTCAAGAAGCACCCATGTAAGTGCCAGGTGGATCTGAGGTTTTATTTGGGGGGATGAAGATGTTTTGGCGCTGAAAAGAGTTGGAGGATCGCTCCAAATTGCAACTGGACTAAACGCTACTGAATTGTCCACTTTACAATAGTTAATTTTAGTTTAACCATGAATGTACTAAGGGCTATTGCATTGCTCATTTTCAAATGGTTATCTCATGTTCTGCAAACTCTGCCTCAATTTACAAAGAAAAGAAAATAAAAATGAAGAAAAGCACCCAGTTCCTCCCACTTCTCCAAATGCCCGCTACCTTCTCCATGTAGCAGGGATGGATCCAGAAGCTCCATCATGTACTCGACCTCCGTGTCTAGCTCCAGCATGTCACACTGCGCTATGACATAGGTCAGGACCGGCAAAAAGTCATCTGCTCCGTACATCCTCCCTGGAGTAGGAAGAAAGGGGGGGACAGACGGGTTATTTTTAGCCGCATTTCTCCCTTTCATGTCCTACTTGCTGCTTTTATTAGCAAAGAGCCATGCAGGGGAAGTGAGGTGGGTGTTTCTGGAATCCTACATTGGGGAGGGCTCCTTCCCACTGCCCTCATCAGAGGCAGACCCTAACTCACAATTTCAGGATGAATGTCCAAGTCAATGAACACAGGGAAGATTGTTTTCCCATTTCCATGATTTGCCTCAACACATGCAATAAATCGGGGCTTCCCTGGTGGCTCAGCGGTAAAGAATCCGCCTCAACGCAGGAAAGGCAGGTAGTCACAGGCTTGATCCCTGGGTTGGGAAGATCCCCTGGATCTACTGGAGTGGGCAACCCACTCCAGCATTCTTGCCAGGGGAATCCCATGGACAGAGAAGCCTATTGGGCTACAGTCCATTGGGTCGCAAAGAGTCGGACATGTCTGAGCACACACACACGTGCAATAAGAGTCCTTTTTTTTTTTAAAGGGTTTCACTTTTCAGCAAGTGACAGAATAAAACATTTTGCATTAAGTGTCTACTTAGGATGTTTCTCCTTTGTGTCTTCCTATTGCTTTCTGTCCAAATTAACCAAACCATAGTGACCAAAACCAACTTCAGCAAGGAACAACTCGTCCTTCTCCGTCTTCAGTGTGACTTAAATGTGCTCCATCAGTGGACATCGAATAAATACATCTGATTAATATCTGACCAAAAAGATGGTCAGTCCGTACTATGTTTTATCACGACAGAGATTCTCAACTAGCGGTGACTCTTGCCTCCCAGAGAAGTCTGGCATTGTCTGGAGACATCTTTCACACTCATGACGGGAGGGTGGGTGTGCAAACAGCAAGCATCTGGATGCCGATAAACTTCCTAGAGGAAGTGGGACGTTCCCACAGCAAAGGACTAGCTGGCTGTAATGTTATTAGTGCTGAGGTAGAGAAACTGCCTAAGAACAGAATCCTGTGCAGATATAATGTGGGGGACTTCTTATAATTTGACAGACTACAGAAAATACCTTCTTGGGACTTCCCTGGCCATCCAGGGGTTAAGACTCTGCACTTCCCAGGCAGAGGGCGCAAGTTCGACTCCTGGTTGGGGAACTAAGACCCACATGCTGCTTGGCTCAGCCAAAAAAATAAAAGAAAATCCATTTCTTGCATGTGAAGTATGCTTCAGAAGCGGTGTTCATCCGCCAGCATCACCAGCCTAGGAGCTCACGTGTTAACATTTCTGCTCAACAATCTGCAAAGTGCATGCTCATGGTGACCTCCCCCAGCCGTGAGAAAACAGAGCCTGTGTTTTCTCTCTGCTGCCTCTCCATGAAGCAGTTTCGCTCACTGGAAACACTGTGATCATCCAGGGAATTAAAAAGGCTCACCCAAGACCTGGGGTACCACAGGGCTCATCACTACCCATAAATCAGGGTCACTCTCGCATCTACAAGTAGCAGCCCTGGGGAAACCTGAGGGCTGACACATGTGAATTCCTATTGCACTGCATCAGCTCAGAGCAATGAAAGGAAGGATGGCCAATAAATACTGTAATGAGAACTGAACGCTCCAAGTTTCTGACAGATGCTATCACGGACACAGGCTCTCACAGGCCAGAATGTAGTAACAACAGGAATAATCAGGACTATCTCCACCATGCTTGGGGCTATGCAAACATTGATCTGTCTAATGCCCACCTTAGGAGGAAGCCTAGGGTCACACCCAGGACAAGAACAGAACTGCAGCTTGGAAGGTTGATTACGGAGGTCGAAGCCCCACAGTTAATGAACGCATTCCCAGACCCAGGGTTTCAACTCATACCCAAGACTGAGTCTGTATCCACTGCCCTGAATTAAATCTTTTTTTTTAGCTTAACATAACTTTTTTAAGGGTTTTTTTTTTTTTTCTTTTTTGGATATGGACCAATTTTTAAAGTCTTTATTGAATTTGTTACAATACTGCTTCTATTTGTTTTGATGTTTTGGCCACAAGGCCCGTGGGATCTTAGATCCCTGACCAGGTGTCTAACTCTTGCCCTCTGCGTTGGAAGTGCAGAGTCTTAACCACTGGATTGTCAGGGAAGTTTCTGAACTGAAGCTTTTATAAGCTGGCATTGTACAAAACTCATTTCTGCCCTGCCCTGAATTTTTGGTGTTGTTAGTTTGCTGCATGTGGACTAATTTGCATTTTTGTGAGCCCCTTGGTGAAGTCAAGAAGCTGAAAGGAAGAGCAGCTGGGGATTGGAAAGCCCAACACGTCCCAGCCCCATCGGAGGGCCAAGAGCCTGGATGAGGTGGTGGCCTCACCTGAGTTGTTCTCCATGACGGTATAGATGAGCTTGCAGACTCTCAGCAGCAGCATGACCTTCTTTTCTGGCGAATACATCTTCTGCATGGTCATGAACTTGACCTTGATTTTCTCCACGTCTACAAAGTCAGGGGTGGGGGCGAAGACGCCCAGCTCCTGTGGATTCCTCTGCCGCACGAGCTGCAGGTTCTCCTTGAGTTGTTTCCATGAGCCATCGGCCACGTGGAAGTGCTTCAGCATGGCCTCGACATGGCCTTTCAGGGGCTTCAGGATGCACTTGTGCATGGCTTTCTCCAGCACCACATCTGCCAAAGAAAGCGCAGCTACTGTGACCATTGTCTGAAGAAAGAGGAAACGTAAGGTCTGCTTTCTGGAAATGCACACCTGCAACTCTGTGCATTGGTTATCAGGCAGACATGTCCCAACTGCACAGCCAATCAACCAAAATTTAGCCCCACATCATTTACACACCAGGCTTCCCTGGTGGTTCAGACAGTAAAAGATCCGCTTGCGGTGTGGGAGACCTGGGTTCGATCCCTGGGGTGGGAGGATCCCCTGGAGAAGGAAATGGCAGCCCACTCGTGTTCTTGCCTGGAGAATCCCCATGGACAGAGAAGCCTGGAGGGCTACAGTCCATGGGGTCGCAGACAGTCAGACACTGAGCGACTAAGCACAGCACACATGCGTTCACACACCAAAGTTTTTTTTTTCTTCAGTAAAGAGCCAAGAAGAGTGAATCTTCCCTAACAGTCTTATAGTATCTTTTGCATGCAGTCAATACAACTGAATATATTTGTTTTAACTACTTTTACACCTTCTCACCCATAAGCACAGGTGAATATTCTAGAAGGTATGCTTTCGACCCAGTCTTTCCACTGAGAAGCCAGTGAACAGCTAAGCAAATGTGCTATGTTAAAAGAAGGATTTGCTAATAGCAAGGGTTCCAGCTCCCTCAAAATATTTCCTGAGGGAAAAATTCAACTAAATACACATGGTATCTTGGATTGGATTCTGGACCAAAAAAGTCTTTCTGTCATTTACTATAAAGGACATAGTGGGGCATTAGATGAGATCTGAATAAAGTCTGCAGATTAGATAATATCGTTAACAATGCATCTGGCTTCTTTCACACAGACTGTATCTCGGAGACTCAGCCAGCTGTGCCTGGAGCAACAGTGTGCTCTTTTTCACAGAGTGACTCTTCCCTGAAAGTTAATGTTACTGCAGTTTTGTAACACAATGTCCCTATTTTTAGATAAATACCCACTAAGTATTTAGGGAAAAAGGGATACAATGCCTGCAACTAGCTCTCAGGGTTTAGATAAAAGGAGGGGATGTGTGCACGTGTATGTGTATGCGTGTCTGTGAGTGTGCGCACGCATGCGTGTGTCAACAGGAAATCACTAACACTGGGAATCTGGGTGAAGGGCAGACATGATTTCTTCATTGACTTTTTGCAACTTTTCTGAATGTCTGAACTGATTTCAAAATGAAAATTTAAAAATTCTTGAAGTGAGTTTCTGTTCAGAATTAGGAAATATCCTTAGGCGTGGGAGACATCCTTTCCCCCTCTTTCTTGGAACGGTTTGCCCAGCGGAGAAGCCTTCTTGGCTGATGGTACAGGGACCAGGACCTCGAAGCTGGAGCGCTGGTCTGAAGCGGGTCTGTGCTGTGAGAGGCTCTCTGCTTCTTCCACATCAGTGTTTCAATCTCAAATGTTTCACGTTCTCATCAAAGCTGCCTGGGTAGCAACCACCCCAAGGATACGACACTTGGGGATCCGATTTCATCTTGGAAGCCCAGGAACCCACAGAAATAGCCAAGTTATCTCTCCGGCCCTTGGCATTCCTGACAGACATCAGATGAAACGGACTCTAAATGATTACCTAGTATTAGAAGATCAGGGACAAAGAGAAATCTAAGCAGGACACACCTATAGAAACCAAGGTTGAAGCAAAAGAGGTTATATAGTAAGAAGAAAAACAGAAAAACATTTCTTCACATCTGGCATTAAAACAAATCACTGTTTTAAAACAAATTAAAACCAAGATTGCATTGGTTATGCTGTGTCAATAAACTTCTAGAAAGTCATACAGCATCTCTGACTTCACTTCCAATGGCCACTCGGATGAAAAGTCAACAATAGTAATTAACATTGGGTGCCCAGTTGGGCTAGGCTTTATTTCATTATCTCATCTAATTCTATAGTATCTCTTTTGCACAATATGACTATTAGGGCTTTTTATAGATGAGGAAACAGACTTGGAGATGTCTAATGGTTTGCCTGAGCCCATAAAACTGAACACCCGGCTTTTCAAAGTCAATGCTATCTTAGTTCTAAAGTTCATGGTGTTTCATAAACATTCACCAGTTTACTGCTCTATCCAAAGATTCTGCAGCTACATTCCTGGTGACCCCTCCCTTTGCTGGAAGGAGGTCACCAAGGGAGGAGAAAGCCACGTCAATCATTAATTAGGATGCACATGAATGCTGGGAGCAGCGTTACTCATAACAGGCCCAAACTAGAAAGCACCCAAGGCCCAACCCAGTGGCATGGATGCCAGGAGATATATACACAATGGAATTCAGAAAATGGAATGCAGACAATGGAAGATTCATTCCATGACAAAGAGCAGGTTGCTGCTCCAGACACAACTGGCTGAGTCTCCAAGATACAATCTGTGTCAAAAAAGCCAGACACACAGAGTTGTCTCCTTTAGCATGATGCTTACACAAAGCTCAAGGACAGACAAAACCAACCTATGATGACAGGTCAGGATGGCAGTCGCCCTGAGAAATAAACGGGGCTTCGGGGGACACTTCCAGGTGATGGGAGACGGTGGATGCCTGTGGTGGCTACAGGGATAAAAAATTGTCAAGCTGAGCACTTGAAATTTATACACTTCATGGATATATGTTAAACCTCAATAGCCATGTGTATAAATCAAACCAACAGAAAACACCTAGAGACCAGCCTGAGGATTTCACATTGAACCCCAAGGGCAACTTTTAAATTCCAAGCAAGTCAGATCATCTCAGGGCCAGAGTTTGCACACAAACCATCTCCAAAAGGTTCTATGCTGTTCCTGGGGCTGACAGCAGACAGCTCATCACCAGCCAGCTAAGTGAGTCTCTTGAGCAACTCATCCTTGTCCCCAGGGAAGGGGTGCTGATACTGGCCTTTGAGCCACAAACTCCACTCTTAATAGCAAATGCAACAGTGGAAATCTGCTAGGAGGGTTGATATCCAGGACCCATTGCCTTAAAATTCCCAAAGAAACACATTTTTAGAACATTTTTAAAAGGCTATAATTTAGAAATAAGAAAAAACTGGTCTCTCTGCTTTCCTTTTCAGTTCACTCCTAACCACCCCTCCCCATCCTCACAAATGTTTAATACAATGAATAAGAAAAAAAGTCCAAATGACAAGGATTCAGTACCTGAATGATTCTCTCAAATAGGAAAAGAAGGTCATGCTTATGAGGCAAGAAGGAAAAATGATTTTAGGAAACAAAAGGAACAGAAAATCTTTCAGAACGTGGACTAGCTCAGAACAAAAGGAAAGAACAGATCAGATCAGTCATGTGGCTTATAAATTACTACTATCCATTTTCCCCTACCCTCTCTGGTTGCTTTACATCCAAGAATGATGCTGTTCTAGGCATTTTACACGCACTGAGTCTTCAGCTCCTCCACCAAACCCCTGGTGGGAGGACCGTGATTTATTTTATAGCTGAGGAAACCCAGAGACATGGATGCCACACAGGTACAAAGGGGAGCCAGGACTCAAGCCCAAGAACTCTGGTTATGTCAACTGTGTTTATCTACAAGGAAATAAAAAGATGCCGGAGAACTGTCTGCACTGCTACATTTTGAGTGTGAGAAACCGATTGCTAACTGGAAACACAGTTTTTGAAAATATTTATAGAGATCCTATCAACTGGTTCCAAAGTTCATCCACTCAGGCAAGAAGTCAGGGGCATCAGCCTAGAGCTCCCTGCCTTACTGAGACCTGCAAATGCCGTGATTTACAGAAAGTGCTGAGACCTGCAAATGCTGTGATTTACAGAAAGTGCTCGACGTGTTGGCCCCTACAGCCATGACACGATCACCCCCGTCTTAGGAATGAGGACAGAAGCCTAAGCTCTGTCACTTCCCTCTGATCGGAGGCACAGATTCCAGAGAAAATCAGGCATGAGACGGGGACCCATCACAGGGCAGGCTGGCTCACTCATCAGCTCGTCTGGACACTTCCTGCTCCCCTACTTCTGCCAAAGAGGAAGCGAGAGTCCAGAAACTGAAGTTCAGCGAAGGCGCGTGTCTTAGAAAGAGTGAGAGGAGGTGGCCTGGCAGCCGGCCCAGCTGTGTCTTTCTAAGTGACTCTAGCCTCATCACTTCACCTCTCTGACTGTCACTGCCTGCAACTTCTGAACTGCCATCTACTCCTCACCCAGGGCAGGGAAGACAGAAGGAGCACTCTGAACCTAACTGATGGTTAAAACAATTCCCGGTATTCTCCAGGAATTCTAACAGAACCCAGAGTCTAAACAACATGATGTCCAAAAGGGGTAGGTTGCAACCTACATGACAAAGATCAAAGATGTAGTGAGGTCATATAGCCCCTTGGCTTATTTAAGTTCTAGCATTCTTTCAAGAAAGTAAAGTAGAAGAAATAGAAGTTAACGTTTGATGACAAGAGGCAGACCTTTCTTGTGGGGAACTCAAACTGTGAAGTGCAAACGTGCATCATCGCAAATACTGACGGGGACGTCTGCTTTCACAGTTCCTGGGACAAGGGGCGGTTACAGAAGCCTGTGCTCTGTGCTGGCCCTCACTTCAGCCCTGTCACAATGAATGAGGGCCCTCTCCCTGAGGCACAGAAGTTAAACGACTTTCCCTGGACGGTGGAGAACCTGGTTGTTCCTACTGCAAAGAAGTCAGGAAATAGCATAGTGGCACTCGTTCTGTACGAGAAGGGCAAAAGGAGCCAGTTCTGTCTTTCGGTGCTAACATGGTCACCTTTGGCTACATAGATGGATTAAAGATCAGGGCTGAGCTGGACGGGGGACTCAGTGCTTTCCAAGCATTCCAAACACTTTTATGTACTTTACATGTATTTAAACTACCCTTTGACATGAATACATAACTCCTATGTGTTTTTCCTTTGGTTCTTCTAGAAGCCCACCCAGACACAAAAGGATTAGAGTTGAGTGGTTCCCAGAGGAGAGGGAACCCTCTCCCAGTGGGAGAGGAGCCCAGGCAGCTCTGGTCCCCGAAGCAGGGAGGCAGCCAATGCCCTGTGCTT